TTACATTGCTCAGACGGAAGGCGACCTTTTTTCTGCAAAATTATGTTTTCAAATATTTAACAAATCAGCCAAAGTTTAAAGAAAAAGTACATGGACAGACTTCTACAAAGCCTGGAGATCCTACTGATCAAGACCACTGGAAATCCTTACAACAAAGTCGAGCTGCTTGGGGGGAAAAAGAGCAAAGAAAATCGAAGCGGTTCTGAAAGCTTTTGCGTACAACTTGTTTTTCCAACGCAAATCTGCCGAATGAAAAAGCCTCAAGCTGGATGTCAGAAACTCCAAAAATCTCAGCCCAAACAACTTGGACACCAGCGAACGAAGGCAGACGCCGACATGAAGCCTAACAGGGAGCCATTTGTCTTGGCGCGGCACTTTGTACAAACGGCCCGGATAATTGGCGATACATATCTAATATCAGCAGCCGTCGCTTCGCTCCCGCGACGATTCCGAGCCCCAAAGAGGCCGAACCCTGTAGCTTTCAGACAGAAAGAAAGAGCAAACGCACGGCTGCAGCTGGCCAAGTCGCCGCCTGAATGTCATTCCGTTTCCCTCGCGCGCGATACGAATTCACACAGGCAAAGAGGATCCAGAGAAACAGAGACGACATGAGGGACTCCCCGCCATGGCCGGCGCATATGATCTGTTAGCTTTTCCCTTTACCCTCCGAGCATTACTTTGCACACAAGAGTGCGACCCAAGGCAGCTCGTGGGCCGCTGAAATAAAAGCCTGGCTGTTGGTAGGAACTAGTTGGTACACAGCTGGACTAATAGAGCGGGACTAATTAGCGTCAGCGCTTTGCTGGATGTTAGCAAAGAATCTCCCGAAGAAAGAGAGGAGAAATAATAATAATGATGATGATAAATAAAAAGAAGTGTAAGCGTCTTTCTTTAGTGCGAGTCCTCTGGGGGGGAAAGGAAGACACCCAGAAATGATTTTAATGACATGTGTGAAGCAAATGTGATCCTCCCTCTATATTTTTTTCCCTTTCTCTGTTACTACCAATGGAATTTGGAGCTAAAAAATACCATGGGCATTGTGGTCAAAGCTGAAACGCCATAACTGAGGATGCAGCATGTGAGAATTGTCACCACATGTAAGAATAAGAGCCAGGCTTTGTCTCTCTCCCGCCGCCTCTCCGACGAAGCTCTGCAAAACATCTGCAAGGTTTACGAGTCGCCGTTAACCATCTTATTGTGGAAAAACAAACAATCAAACAAAAAAATAATAATAATACATATATGTTTCACGCCGATTCAGAGTTCTCACGGTTTCTCCGGCTCTCTGATTTTCGAGAGAGAGAGAGAAAGAGAGAGAGACAGAGAGAGAAAGTACACTTCCGGGTGAAAACAGCGATTTTTGTACCACTGGTCAATGATCCGTTAAGAAAGGAGACCAGAGCAGAAGCATGTGTTTTTCTCAGTAATAGCCCTCCAGAAAAGAAAGGCAAATTCAGTTGTCAGTTGTCTGAGCTGCTTCGCTCTGCTGGAGGACAGGAGATGGTGAGCAGAGGAGGAGAGGGAAGGAAACGTCTGAGGACAGAAGTGAGGAAAGGGGCAGAAATAAGAGAGATTGGTAAAAAAAAACAAAAAAAAAACTGGCAAACATTTTCTTTAGCTTTTTATGTGGAGGATTAAAACACCTCCAGGAAGATTAAACTGTCTTTCTCTCAACACCACTTAACCTTAGTAAGTCTTTAATACAGTTTATATCATTTTAAGTCAGGTTCATGTTTATCCAAATAAAAAAGGGGGCAGTGAAAGCTGTAGTATGTATTTTTTATTTAAAAAAAAAACAAAAAAACACACACATCTTTAAGTTTAATGAGGTGGACCGTGTCAACGTCACCGTGAGCCAATAGAACAACTTTGGGATGGTTATAATTGAGACTTTGCAACAGGCCAACTTATCCAACATTAGTGTCTGACCTTACAAATAAGCTCCAGGTAGAATGAACCAATATTTCCCATGAGAACGCACTCCAAACTCCTCATGGAAAGCCTTCCCAGAAGAGTTCGAGCTTTCTGTGGCTGCAAACCGTGAGACAACTCGATTCCATGGCTAAAGAATGGGGTGTCTTTAAAGCTTGTGTGTGTTTGAAGGCAAGTGTCTCGGTACACTGCGCTTGGCAACATGGTACAGCTAAAGAAGTAATGGAGAACTGTGAAAAGGTGTTGTCCGAGAAGAAAAGAAGAAAAAAGTTCAGAGGCTAAAACGATAAAGAGTGAAGATAAACATGGACAAAGTTGGGGAAAATGGAAGCGAGCGCGGCAGGAGATGAAGGCGAACAAAGAGGGGTAAAGGGGAAGGAAAGACGAAGGAGAGACAAAAGGTGATGTTTGAGAGCGAGTGGGAGGCACAGAAGAAAAAAAGGGGGAGGAGAAAAGAGGAGAGAAAGCACAGGGATGCATGAGGAGAGAGACACAAACTGACAGTCAAATGAAAGGGAGACTGAAGTGTAGGTGGGAGACAAGGGAAAACAGCAAATCGGGGGGTGGGGGGGGGTGAGACATGAAGATGAAAGAGCGAGAGAGAGGGGAAGAGAGACAGCTGTCGGGGAGAGAGTGAGCAAAGTGCCAAACAGATAAATAACCAGCTTACTGGGATTACCAAGTGAATGACACAGAATTTGCCCGAGCCAATATGACGTGGCAGTGATAGCTGCTAACCCATATAAACCTGAACGCGGTCCAACGCGTCCCGCGGCGCTCTACTGTTGTCACCGCACTCTGATGCTACGGGAGCCAGTTGTTTATGTGGGCTCCTGTAAAACGTATCGCGGCGGCTGCAGGCTCTGAAATGGCAGAGTTGTCTGAAACTACCTGGGCCCTCGAAAGAAAAAAAAAAAAGAGGACAAAAAAAATTGAGATTAAGAAAGAATACACTGCATGGTTAAACGTGTACGGGCACAACATAGGTTTGAACCGGCTCGCAGCGCAAACGTTACGCAACAGATTCGCATTGTTGCTCTCCTTCAGCTAGTTAAAATCAGTTGACTAAAGCTAAGCGATTTGTCATGCTTTCAAGAAAATCCTTCTCGCAGTCTGGAGTTTTAGATGTCTCTGTGTCTTCTTCTTCTTCTACCCCCAGTTTAGTCACACCTGAGCAGGAAATCCTACAGTGGAGCCTAGAAACACACTTTGTCCTTAAAAGTGACATTTAGAGAAGAATTTCCAGACGATGTCAAACTGATGCCGTTGCCTTAACATACCGGAGAGGAAAACACAATTTTGAATCTATTTCTCGTTTTATGAATTTCAAAGCAACAAAATTGTTCTAAGGTCACATTTCTAAGGCAGGGATGCAGTGAGATTGTGAAGAAAGTGTTAGATATTTTTTTAGGTTTTTCAGACATTAAGCGGTGTGATTAAAGCTCGGGACCCTGTTTAGACTCTGCATAATTATCTACATTCAGAGACTATTCAGACCACTTTAGCTAATTCTTTTCAAACAAAGGCGACAAGTGACAAATCCGGCAACCATTTCTGTGTCATTGGAGATTTTGGTGACAACGTAAAACCACCAGTTGCACTGTAGCTACAGTTAGCAGTTAGCGCTGCACTGAGTCCCTCCAACCCACGACGGACAGCAGGCTCGCCGCGCTGCAGCAAAGTCAGCTTACGGTCAGGTCAGTCTTTTCATAGCCGAAAAGCTGAACGTGAAGAATCAACCCACACTTTTCACCTATTTGTGTGGCAAAATGTTGAGAACTCAGTAGAAAGCAAACAGTTAAATGTGGTTGATTTGTAAGCATGGGCTAACTGTTAGCTACTCAGATAGTAGCCCCTGCTTAGCTTCTTCCTCCTCGGGGTGCTAAAGCAAAAGTAGAGTGAAGCTTTTCTGTTTATGAATGAGTCTTGATAACGTTCTTCAGTTCAAGCTCTGTTTAGACGATCAATAATCTTGCTAAGGCGTCATGTCATCAAATGCTAAGAAACACCGTAGCGCCTTATGAGGTGAACGTACAAAAACAACTGAGCGACGTTTAACAAAACTCAGTGGTCTTTTTTTCTTTTTTAATAAGTTGACCATTTACGCTCGCCTAAATTAATCACAGAGTTCAAAACACACAGCGTCAGCAAGAAGCATACACACACACGCATATGCTCACTGCTCCACATTTTACCCTCTAATGAAGTCCAACGGCAAAACAAAAACCTGCCAGAACCCAGGCAGAGTTAGGAAAACAGAGATGTGAGGTGACAGAGAGATGATGAGATAGAGTCATTGTAGTATAAGGAGCCAGTCTATAATTGGAAAGATGTGAAAAATGAAGTGTCAGTTTGGTCAATAAGGGGCAAAGGTCGCAGAGACAGGAGCCCAAACTCGGCACAGAGCATGCTCATTAGAGCGACCAATCAGCTCTTGGCTGGCTGCTCCCAGACTATCACGCATCAAAGGCAGAGGAGTGGACACACACTTGTACAATGTCTCTTTGTCTCGGGGCCGGTAATTTCAGGGCTCTTTCATCAGCCCATTCCTCTCTTCCACATGATCTATTTTTCTTTTCTTTGTAAGCTAAACGTCTGAGTCCTCAGCGCTGACCTGTACAGGCGAAATAAAGGAAAAAAGAAGCAGAAGCAGGATTTCAGTTGGAAACACGGCGTGTGAACGTCTGTGTTGACTTTGTACTCTGCTCCTACCCAGGCTCTGCCTCCCAAACTCAACCTCAATAATGCATAAAGTTGCGTTTCTGTGTGCAGTTGGTTTGCAGCGTCACTCCCAACACAACCAGCGTGCTGTTTCTGTCTGCCTCTCTCGAAAACACAGCGATCCTCACAATGCACCAATGGACAAAGGAAGAGAAACGTCAAATCCAGGGTTCTAGGCACAAAATCGAGGAGAATCCGATTCCATCAACCTCTGAGAGAATCTACTGACACTCAAAAAGATAACAGGCGTAATATTCCTTCATCCACATCAGGAATGTGAAATAAGAGGAAAGGAACTTTTGTCTTTTGGTTCATTTTTCAAGCTTCTGCTGCTGTCGAACTCTTACCCTGTTCGCTGCTGTTGTCCCCACTGTGAGACGTGTGTCCGCCGCTGGACGGCCCCGGCGTGCCTCCGGAGCGCGTGGACGCCGTGTCGTCGTGGTCTCTGTTCCAGGATGTCTGTTTGGGAGAGAGACAACCAAAGAGACGGCCATTTTTAACACTTCTATTGGTTGTTTTTGTTTTTGATCAATTTCAATTTGTGAATTGAATGTAGATATGTACAGATGCACCAGTCAAGGTAATTCTGACTTCTATTTTCTTTTGCCAGTCTGAATTGTGACTGAGTTTGTTACTTGCCCCTTCCCCTCAAGTACCGTTACTCATTAAAAAAGACAGAAAAAACAGTTTTGAATCCATCAGAAAAAGAAGAATTTGTATTTATAATTTGTTTCTACATCAAAATGCATATCCATATCAATAGCTTTACTGTATGATGTTGGTGAAAGCATTTATAGGTCACATTTTGTTCTTTAATTGAGTGCATCTCAAGCAAAGGAAACCCTATAACAAAAACTCACCCAGAGCCACAAAAACCCATTTCAGAAGAAAATCTTTGGGATTTGGTCTAAACAAAGTTCGTATGACTAAAGTGTTTTCTTGAGAAAGCTGGAAGAATAAACTAAGTTGTATTTCTGTTTTCAGATTGTTCTTGGATCTCTAATCAGCATGTCAAATAATAACAACAAAAAGAAACTTTTGAAAAGTTTAAAATACAGAACAGAATGGCATCAACTTAAAAGTGAACTCATGATTCAGTCGAAAGCTCATCCAGCAGTTCATGAGGTCCTTCGACGTTTCTTTTCTTTTTTTTATATATATATTTTTTTCATAAAATGCAGATTATTAGACGTTTCTCAAAAAGGCTGGTCCAGATCAATAGAGAGCAAACATGTTGCTTCAGTTCCCAGATTTCTGAAGCATGCAATCCGTGGCCGCCTCCATTTGCCCCAAACCACTAGCAGATGAAAATACAGAACAGCTACAACTTAAGATAGGCTACGGCAAGCGCCAGGGAGTGATGTCATCCGAGCAGAGAGAGGGAGAGAGCAGAAGGTAAATAACTCATGCATTTCCCCCATCGGTACAGATTCTTTGTTTTGGTCCACAAATGAAATAAAAATAATATATGTTAAAAAAGTGGATGACCACTCGCACTGAAGTGGAGCTAGATTTCATTTTGGGCACGGCAAAAGCAAAATTAAATAAGCAAACGCTTTTCCGTAATCTTTCCTTAAACAAAATGAAATGCAATGCCGATCCGGTCGAGTCTGAATGAAAACAAATGAAAATGTTTGAGAGCAGCCAACTTCAAGAACAAAAAAATAACAAATAAAATGAAATACAACAACTTTATGATGCAAAACTGATGCTCTGCTCCCCCCCCCCCCCCGTATCGCGTCTGGACAAGAGCTGGAGTTTATATATAGCAAGTCGGGTCCATGTAAGGCCAGATGAGGGTCTTCTGCACACTGGACAGTCTGCAGAAGTCCAGTCCGATACAGCTAAGTCATAACTGTATGATTTATGCAATAAATCATTCAGTTACTGGCACGTCAAAGTCTTCATCGCACTCATCCATGCAGATTTACTGCCTCGCAAAAGTATTCACTCCCCCCTGAGTCGTTTCCACTCAAAAAGCCACTTTTATCCCCACTGCTACAAACTAAAACACGCATTAAACAATTCTGTAAATACATACTGCATCTAGCTAAAGCGTTTTCTTACAAAAGCTGACAAAATTGAGCTAAAATATCTGTTTCCAGATTTTAAAATAACATGAATCCTCTATTTTACAAGCTTGTTCTGGAGGTCAACTTATGGGAATACTCATAAGATGACAAATTCTTGTTGCACTCATAATCAAAGCTATTTCATTTTCGGTTTTGAAAGAGCTGCATAGTTGTAAGAAGGTCAAGAAAAAAGATACAGGGTGGACCTGCACAACACCAGAGAAACACTACAATGTGACACTATTGCCGAAAATTCTGGTGACTATAATAGTTACGGCTAATTAAAAATGTTCCATCTCGTCTCTGACTTTATCATAAAACACGAGCCTCACAGGACTGTGTGAGACAAACATCAGCCGCTCGTTGTTTCAATGCTAAAAACTTAGTAGATTTTCTGAGTGACAAAAAAGAAATAAATCAATTTCAGAGAAACAGCAGAAATGTGGAAGAAGAGCCTCTGGTCAGATTGAGCCTGAAAATTGAACCTGAACACACCATCCTCACTGAGAAACTCTTTTCTTGTACTGATATGCATTCACACACTGGAGTGGAGCTTCACTTTACAGCAGCACAAAAATCATAAACATGAAGCTGGAGCTGCTAGTTTAAATCCAAGCACGTGCCATGGTGGCCTAGTTAAAGCCTGGATGTTGAAATTTGATATCCACAGATTAGGGATGCACCGATACACCTTTCTCACTTCCGATATCAGAAATCAGAAAAACAGAGCTGAATTTAATTCAAATGAATTAAATTCTTAAAAAAAACAAAAACAAACAAAAAAAAATAAACATTGACACAAATTACAGAAACACAAATTAATTTGATAACTTTGCACCAGTACAGAGCACTTGATAGCTTCACAACTTTCATTAAACATGTAAAAACAACTTTAATTTGTTCAGTCGGTGCAGTTGGGAGAGCAACAACCAAAGTAAAATTTATTTTAAAAACTGAATCTGTCAAAAACAAAAGGGAAATACTTTGGTTAAACATGTGAAAAAAACAGCAGTAACTATTTCAAATGGTTCAAAATGTACAAGGAAATGCAAATTAAATAAAGCACAACGCAAAGGGTTAGACTTAATAGATCGCCCGCAATGTCACCGATTCCCGATCCAGAATTTTTTACAATATCAGGATCGATACAGATATTGATATCGGATCAGGTGCATCTCGATCACAGGCGCTTTCCATCCAGTCCGAACGGCGCGCCGCACTTCAGACTTTGACCAAATGTTTCCCCTTTCAGAATTACTGTAGTTCGTCCATCACACGAAATCCCGCCGAAACACGTCAAGGTTTGCCGCTGCTGCGTCAGCGGAACGCCACGAAACTCAACAGAGGCGACCGCTTTGGCCCCACGCTGCACGCGAACGTGCACAGAAAAGAGCAAAGAAAGCGCACGGGCCCTGCCGAACACACACGAACACAAACCCTGCGACATGTGAGCGAAACCAAACCAGATGTGTCCCGGTGGCGCTCCGCGGAGCAACGTTCGCGCTGAAGATCAGGGGCGAGAAAGGAGACGCCACAGGAGAAGGGGAGCGGAATCAAACGTCTCCGAAACGACTCCATGTCACAAACAAACAGAACGCTCCTCGAGCCTCTTCCCGCCTATCGTTGCTCTGCGAAATCAAATGAGGCGGATATCAAAGTGTGTCTCTTTGGGGGGGGGTTCAAGTGTGCTTTTCGGTCGTTTTGTGACGAAATGAGTGATAGAAACCCGCGAGGAGAAAGAGAAGAGAAGAGAAGAGGGGAGAGGAGAGGAGAGGAGCGCAGCGCTGGGAACAACTGGTTCCAATTGGGACGCTGCGATTGGCGCTGCTGCCGCTGCGTGAAGGGACTTGGAGTTGATTTTTTTTTTTTTTTTTTTTTTTTGCTTTATTAAAATAAAAGAAGACATTATTTCATGACGTGGGATTTGTTTGAAACAGAGTGTAGACGTGCGCCGGAGAAAACACAAGTCAGCAAATCCAACACATTTGGAGTGGATTAGAGCCGCTTTGATGTTCCCAGGCTATGAAATTATAATCCAGTGATTACATGGACGATATAATCGTTTTCCAAATTAGACTCTGAGGCTTTTCAATAAAGACCGAGTTCCCGCGCGACGGCATGAACTGGGAGGGGGGAGGGGGGGGGGGCAGGAACGCTGATTTTAACGGGGTTAGGAGCCAGGATGATTTTTGTTGTTGTTGTTGTTGTTTGTTTGTTTTCGTTCGGATTCTTTAGAAGTTCTCATTTGCTGACCGTAAAACAAGAGGAGAGCTGGAAAAAAAAAAAAAAGAAAAAAGAAACACCCATGCATGACCGAGTGACTCCAGAGCACATCAGAAGTGAGGTAATCCAGACCACATGCTGAAAACACAAACAGTTAACTCTTTCCAAATCTGCTCTGTTTAAAATGTATATAAATCAAAAAAAAAAAAGGAGGAGGGAGAGACAGAGAGAGAAAAAAGGGGGGGGAAAGCCGAAAATGTTTATTCAGAGCTTCGAAAAGGAGAATAGTACAGCACCCATCCACCCCACCCACCCACCCATCCACCCCCCGGGGATGTCGAGCTGTGGGAAGTGAAAAAACCCAAGAGCGAGCATCGGCTTGTGAAAAAGGATGTGATTTCCCTTTTCTTTTTCTTCCTTTTTCTCCATGTCCTTTTTGTTGTAATTCTCTAACAAATTCCATTTGAAAATATAATTAGAACGAAGGGGGAAAAAAACAGGGGGAAACTGCAAAAAAAAAAAAAAATAAATAAATAAATACTACCGCATTAGCTGTAATTGAACAAAAGAGCGCTTTGCCTGCTGGGAGGTGGCCACCGCGGCCCCATGGGAAACGGGGCGGGGCCGAGACGGGGCCCTGGTGGCATCTCTGTGGGGACGGGAGAAAGAGGGAGGGAGGGAGTTTATTTATAATCACAGGCCGCCCTTTGGATGGAACCGGGCCCAGCTCTGATCTAACACGCAATTAATACACACACGGCTGAGATAACACAACCGGTGCACACAAGGCTGCGCAGCATGTGTGTGTTCTCCAACACACTCCTCTTGCTTGGTCACTTAGCTTGCACAAACACACACATTTTTTTTTATTCTGCAAACACACACACACCTGCCATGAGGACAAAAGCACTCACCTGGGCCAGACAAACAAAAAACACAAACACACGCGCTTACCCTGTGCTAACAACAGTTTAAAAGCACCAAAAAGAAGAGGGACACCTCGAATGTATGTAAATGTAGAGGATGAACAGATGAATAAACAGAAACGGAGGAGGAGGAGGGAGGAGGAGCGTCCCTCCGCGCCCAAGGCTTCACACTTGATTCATTCTGTTCGCTTAATGAGCCGCCGTGATCCCTCGCTCAGAAAACGCCTCCCTCCCCTTA